ACACGAGGATGAGGACCAAGTTGTGCGTTTTCGTGGTTAACTACCCAAACCATGACTCTTAGCGCGTTCTAACAGGTTTCAGATTTGGCAATAGAATAACCACGACGTAGATAATGGAATTCCTTAAGGAGAGTCAGTTACTGTCGCATTCCGGACCTTGGTCCAGTAAAAGGTTAACTTAGGGACTAGGTTAGACCTGTCGGATGCGGTTTCTAGAACGACCATCCTTCTAAATGCTGGCTTTTCTGGGAAAATGATTCACATAATTATTCAGTAATCTCTACTACTTGTATTGTGCGCATCCACTCCTCTACAGAGCAGGCAGCTGTACCCGAATTTGCCTTGAGTGGTATAAATTGCAACCCTAAAAGGAAAGGTTTAATTATTACTTGTCCGTTTGGTTACGGTAGCAAACTAAATTTTAGGCTTTTGTGGGGATATGTTGGGCGTCCAACTGATGATATGTCCACCATGAGCGTTATGAAATGGGTGCAGTCTTGCTGGCTTGGCCGGGCGTAGGTTTGGGAATGATGCAGACTTGCACTGCGCCTACCTCACGCGTTCCTTCTTCACCTCGGGTTAAGCATCAGGTGAACACGTGCCAAATGCACATACAATCTGATGGACACAGAAGTACCGGACTTCTGGGCATGCTGTTTGTAATTCCACGCGCCCGAGAGAACCATATATGACTTTTTTTTATTTGCGAATATTCCCATTGAAAATTTCAGAAGATAAATTGGTGAACAAACGTTTGTTTTCGATAAAGTCTCGTCACCCAAAAATGCAACTATTAGAACCCGAATTGTGCTCTTTGTTGTCAAGTGTGCAAAATAAGCCGTTTAGTGCTTCCCGACAGGTTCCAGCATTATTGATAGGAGCACCAAGACTTAGCTAATGCAGTTCACTAAAGAATGTCAGTTAGTTTTGATTCAGGGTACTTGGTCCAGTAAACCATCCGATTTGCGTCCAGATTACGCCTGTCGAATGCGTGAAAATGTCTGATTTTCTGAGACTTACATAAACTTAAATGAGAATCCCTCGTGCTCCTATTGTGTACTCCCACTCTCTTACATGGCAGCCAGATGAGCTACAATGCATAGGCAAGAAAGTTTTTCCGTCTCTCAAATTAGCCGCCCAATGTTTTGAGTTGTTTGTAAGTTTTCTGGAAGACAAGTTGCTATGAGGTGTCAATAATGTCCGATTTGAAAGAGTCATGCGGATTATTTGGTATTACGATCGCTTTTCGGTCACGTTCTTTTCTATCCTCATAAAATTTGGGAATTCGATATCGTTCTCTGATAAAATGGCGAAATCTACGGGAGAAATAACGTTAGATGGAATTTCACGTTAAATTCGGATTTATGTTGCCCACTTGGCGCTTTATAAATTCTTCAGTTTTTCCTGCTGCCTATATTTGCTCTTATTTAATGCCGTCGTTTGACTAAAAGATAGTATCTGCTCAAATATACGCGTATGTGGCGTATAAGATGCACTAGTTAAATCAGTTTTTGTTACCAAACACTTATTCTGGTATTTTTATTGTTTTGTGCTTTCTCCATTCTACACTTTATTTCCAGTAATGCCTTCGCTTCTTACAACAGTGGCGTCTACATACCGGAGTTGTTTTGTGAAATCCTGGTACTAACCAAATCCGACAAAGACGAGGAACCCTGGCATGGAATCTAGGACACATTTGTCATCCTCAACCGGTCATACTCAACCCTAGGTAATAAATTATCCGAGGGTCTAACCTAGAACCTGAACAAAAGTTGCTTACAGTAATAACAGGCATGGCTACTTTCTGATTCGGCTGTTTTAACGGCAAAACTTGAGCAAAGGAATAAAAGTATATGTTAGAGGTTGTTTAAGACAGACCAGGGGGAACGGGGAAGGAGGAGAGAAGGTGCAGAAAAATGCAGGCAGTATTGTGATCAAGAAGGAGACGGCTCGACCGCTGGGAAAATACTTATATTCGCCAGACATTATGAGATCCGGATTCGCCATCAGAGACACATAAGCAGGAGGCAACCGTAAGGGGCCAGATAATGGAACCGAAAGACCAACTGCCACGGTAAAAAAAATGTGGAGTCGTCTACAGGATCTGGTGCAGTTGAGGGTAG